GCAAAAGACAGAGGAAAACTTAATGAGGAAAGAGAGCGTAGAAAATGCGATACAGGACAGATGGAAGGCAAAAAGTGACAGAGGAAAAACTTAATGAGAAAGAGAAAGAGAGCAGATTGAAGGCAAAGGAAATGCAGAGGAAAAATTAATGACAGATGAAAGAGAGGAAATTGGTTGAGAAAATGAAGGACAAAAAAGTGACAGAGGAAAAATGAGGGATAAGATGAAAAATGACAGGACAGAAAAAAAGACAGAGGAAAACTTAATGAGGAAAGAGAGAAAGTAGAAAAAATGATAGGACAGATTGAAGAGAAAGCAGAGGAAAATTTAATGAGGAAAGAGAGCGTAGAAAATGCGATAGACAGATTGAAGGCAAAAGTGACAGAGGAAAACTTAATGAGGAAAGAGAGCGTAGAAAATGCGATACAGGACAGATTGAAGGCAAAAAGTGACAGAGGAAAAAACTTAATGAGGAAAGAGAGAGTAGAAAATGATACAGGACAGATTGAAGGCAAAAGTGACAGAGAAAAATTTAATGAGGGAAGAGAGCGTAGAAAATGCGACAGGAGCGACTGAATGCAAAAGGACAGAGGAAAATTTAATGAGGAAAGAGAGAAAGTAGAAATGCGATAAAGGACAGATTGAAGGCAAAAGTGACAGAGGAAAATTTAATGAGGAAAGAGAGGTAGAAAATGCGATACAGACAGATTGAAGGCAAAGTGACAGAGGAAAACTTAATGAGGAAAAGAGAGCGAGAAAAATGCGACACAGGGACAGATTGAAGGCAAAAAGTGACAGAGGAAAACTTAATGAGGAAAGAGAGAGCGAAAATGATACAGGGACAGATTAGAAGGCAAAAGGACAGAGGAAAATTTAATGTTGAAAGAGAAAGCGTAGAAAATGCGATACAGGACAGATTAAAGGCAAAAGACAGAGAAAATGTAATGAGGAAAGAGAGAAAAATGCGATACAGGACAGACAGAAGGCAAAACATAGAGGAAAATTAATGATGAAAGAGAGGTAGAAAATGCGATACAGGACAGATTGAAGGCAAAGTGACAGAGGAAAACTTAATGAGGAAAGAGAGTATAGAAAATGCGATACAGACAGATTGAAGGCAAAAGTGACAGAGGAAAACTTAATGAGGAAAGAGAGCGTAGAAAATGCGATACAGGACAGATTGAAGGCAAAAGGACAGAGGAAAAGCAATGAGGAAAGAGAGTAGAAAATGCGATACAGGACAGATTGAAGGCAAAAGTGAGAGGAAAACTTAATGAGGAAAAGAGCGTAGAAAATACGATACAGGACAGATTGAAAACAAAAGTGACAGAGGAAAACTTAATGAGGAAAGAGGCGTAGAAAAATGCGATACAGGACAGACTGAAGGCAAAAAGTGACAGAGGAAAAACAATGAGGAAAGAGAGCGTAGAAAATGCGATACAGGACAGATTGAAGGCAAAAGTGACAGAGAAAAACTTAATGAGGAAAAGAGAGCGGAAAATGCGATACAGGACAGATTTGAAAGGCAAAAAGTGACAGAGGAAAACTTAATGAGGAAAGAGAGGTAGAAAATGCGATACAGACAGACTGAATGCAAAAGACAGAGGAAAACAATGAGGAAAGAGAGCGTAGAAAATGCGAGACAGGACAGATTGAATGCAAAAGTGACAGAGGAAACTTAATGAGGAAAGAGAGCGTAGAAAAAATGCGATAAGCAGGGACAGATTGAAGGCAAAATTGGACAGAGGAAACTTAATGAGGAAAGAGAGCGTAGAAAATGCGATACAGACAGATTAATGCAAAAAGACAGAGGAAAACTTAATGAGGAAAGAGCGTAGAAAATGCGATACAGGACAGACTGAATGCAAACGTGACAGAGGAAAATCTTAATGAGGAAAGATGGGCGTAGAAAACAGGAGACACAGGACAGACTGAATGAAAAAGTGACAGAGAAACTTAATGAGGAAAGAGAGCGTAGAAAATGCGATAAGGGACAGATGGAAGGCAAAAAGGACAGAGGAAAAACTTAATGAGGAAAGAGAGCGTAGAAATGACATACAGGACAGATTGAAGGCAAAAGTGACAGAGGAAAAACTTAATGAGGAAAGAGAGCGTAGAAATGCGATACAGGACAGATTGAAGGCAAAAGAGACAGAGGAAAAACTTAATGAGGAAAGAGAGCGTAGAAAATGCGATACAGGACAGATTGAAGGCAAAAAAGACAGAGGAAAATTTAATGAGGAAAGAGAGCGTAGAAAATGCGATACAGGACAGATTGAAGGCAAAAGTGACAGAGGAAAACTTAATGAGGAAAAGAGAGCGTAGAAAATGCGAAAGGGACAGGACAGATTGAAGGCAAAAAAAGGACAGAGGAAACTTAATGAGGGAAGAGAGCGTAGAAAAGAGCGATACAGGACAGATTGAAGGCAAAAGTGACAGAGGAAAAACTTAATGAGGAAAGAGAGCGTAGAAAAATGCGATACAGGACAGATGAAAGGCAAAGTGACAGAGGAAAATTAATGAGGAAAGAGAGCGTAGAAAATGCGATACAGGACAGATTGAAGGCAAAAGTGACAGAGGAAAACTTAATGAGGAAAGAGAGCGTAGAAATGCGACAGGACAGATTGAAGGCAAAAGACAGAGGAAAACTTAATGAGGAAAGAGAGCGTAGAAAATGCGATACAGACAGATTGGAAGGCAAAAAGTGACAGAGGGAAACTTTAATGATGAAAGAGAGAATAGAAAAAATGCGATACAGGACAGACTGAATGCAAAAAGTGACAGAGGAAAAATTAATGAGGAAAGAGAGCGTAGAAAATGACATACAGGACAGATTGAAGGCAAAAGTGACAGAGGAAAATTTAATGAGGAAAGAGAGCGTAAAATGCGATACAGGACAGATTGGAAGGCAAAAATGAGAAAGAGAGGAAAACAGATGAAGGCAAAAGGAGAGAAATTAATGAGGAAAGAGAGCGTAGAAAATGTGATACAGGACAGATTGAAGGCAAAAGTGACAGAGGAAAACTTAATGAGGAAAGAGAGCGTAGAAAATGTGATACAGGACAGATTGAAGGCAAAAGTGACAGAGGAAAAACTTAATGAGGAAAGAGAGCGTAGAAAATGATACAGGACAGATTGAAGGCAAAAGTGAGGAGAGGAAAACTTAATGAGAAAGAGAGTAGAAAAAATGCGATACAGGACAGATTGAATGCAAAAGTGACAGAGGAAAAACTTAATGAGGAAAGAGAGCGTGAAAATGCAATACAGGACAGATTGAAGGCAAAAGGACAGAGGAAAAATTAATGAGGAAAGAGAGCGTAAAATGCAATACAGGACAGATTGAAGGCAAAAGACACAGAAAAAAAAGCAATGAGGAAAGAGAGTGAAAAATGATACAAAACAGATTGAAGGACAGAGGAAAATTGAATGAGAAAGAGACAGAGGAAAAACAGAGGAAAAATTAATGAGGAAAGAGAGCGTAGAAATGCGATACAGGGACAGATTGAAGGCAAAAGTGACAGAGGAAAAGTTAATGAGGGCAAAGAGACACGGGAAATGCAAAGTCACAGATGTGGCAAAGTGACAGAGGAAAAGTGAATGAGGAAAAAGACAGAAAATGTGATACAGACAGATGTGGCAAATGACAAAAGATGGCAAAGGAAAACAGAATGAGGAAAGAGACAGAGAAAAAAAGACACATGACAGATTGAAGTGACAGTGACAGAGGAAAGTTAATGATGAAAAGACAGATGATGGTGCAATACAGGACAGATTGACAAAAAGGACAGAAAATCAGAATGAGGGAAGAGAGATGAAAAAAGGACAGAGACAGGGAGTGACAGAAGGCAAAAGACAGAGGGAAAAACTAGATGTGGCAAAGAGACAGAAAATGGCGATACAAAACAGATTGACAGAGATGGCAAAGTGACAGAGGAAAAAGTGACAGAGAAAGAGAGGACAAATGTGGCAAAGGACAGAGAAGGTAAAGACAGATGGGAAAAATTAGAGATGGCAAAGACAGATGTGGGAAAGTGACAGAGATGGCAAAGGACAGATGTGGCAAAGACAGGAGGGCAAAGTGGATGGGATGGCAAAGTGACAGAGATGGCAAAGTGACAGAGGCAAAGTGACAGAGATGGCAAAGGATGATGTGGCAAAGGGACAGATGGTAAAGGACAGATGTGGCAAAGTGACAGAGATGGCAAAGTGACAGATGGGTAAAGTGATGAGATGGCAAAGTGACAGATGTGGGTAAAGGAGGAGATGGCAAAGACAGATGGCAAAAGTGACAGAGATGGCAAAGGACAGATGTGGCAAAAGTGACAGAGATGGCCAAAGGACAGGATGTGGCAAGACAGAGATGGCAAAGTGACAGATGGGTCAAAGTGACAGATGGCAAAAGTGACAGATGTGTAGAAAGTGACGAGATGTAAGGTAGTGACAGATGTGTCCAAGTGAGCAGAGATGTAGAAGTGACAGGTGTGTGAGAAGTGACAGAGATGGCAAAAGTGACAGATGTGGCAAAGTGACAGAGAAAAGTGACAAGATGGACAGAGAAGTGACAAAATGGACAGATTGAAGGCAAAGTGACAGAGATGGCAAAGACAGAGGAAAGAGAGACGAGAGATGGATAAAGACAGATGTAATGAAAGTGACAGAGGAAAACAGATGTGGAAAGTGACAGAGATGTGAAAGCACAGATGTGGGCAAAGTGACAGAGATGTAAAGTGACAGATGAGGGTAAAGAGACAGAGATGGCAAAAAGGACATATAGGGAAAGGACGGAATGGCAAAAGGACACATAAAAAAGGACGGAGATGGCAAAAGTGAAAAATGAAAGGACAGAGATGGCAAAGTGACAGATGGAAAAAGGACAGATGTTGAAAGAGAGCGGAAAATGCAAAGGGACAGATGTTGGCAAAGTGACAGAGATGAAAAAGCAATGAGGAATGACAAAGTGAAAGAGATGTCAAAGACAGAGATGACAAAGTGACGGAGTGTCAAAGTGATGAGATGGTAAAATTGGAGATATCAAATGACAGTGGATGGCAAAGTAACGGAATTGAGGAAAGGACAGAAATGAGCAAAGTGAAATGATGTGGAAAACAGACAGAGATGGCAAAGGACAGATGAAAATAAAAGGAAACAGAGATAGAAAAAGTCAGATATAGGACAATTGAAGAAATGTCACAATGAAAAATGTTAATGATGAAAGAGACAGAGAAATGCAAAGACAGAGAATGCAAAAGTGACAGAGATAAACTTGTGGACGATGAGGCAAAGTTACAGAGATGGCAGGACAGACTGAATGCAAAAAGTGACAGAGGAAAAGTTATGATGGCAACATAAAAGTGACAGGCAAAAGAGACAGATGGAGAGCAAACTTGACAGAGAATCCAAATTGACAGAAAAATGAAGTAACAAAAGAGGCGTAAAATGCGAAAGTGACAGATTTGACAAAGGACAGAGAGGAAATAAAGTGACAGAAGTGAAAACTAAAAAATTGCGAAAAGGACAGATGTGGCAAAGTGACAGAGGAAATGAAAGGGAAGAGACAGAAAATGGGATACAGGAGAGATGGCAAAAGACACAGAAAATAGCCATGAGGAAAGAGAGGCAAAAGTCACAGATGTGAAGGCAAAAGGACAGAGAAATGGCAAGAGAAAGTGTAGATGTGATAAAGTGACAGAATGTAAAGTCACAGATGTGGCAAAGTGACAAAGATGGGACAGAGAAGGCACAGAAATGGCAAGAAAGACAGAGAAATGCAAACAGGGACAGATGTGAAGGCAAAGACAGAGGAAATTAATGATGAAAGAGAAAGTAGAAATGTGATAAAGTGACAGATTGATAGCAAAAGTGACAGATGTGGCAAAGTGACAGAGGGAAGAGAGCGTAGAAAATGGCATAAGTGACAGATTGATAGCAAAAGTCCACAGAGGAAACAAGTGACAGAGATGTGAAAATGACAGATGTGACAGATGAAAGGACAGAGATGACAGTCTGAAATGTGGCAAAGAAAAGATGGCAAAGTCACAGATGTGACAAAGTGACAGAGATGGCAACTGAAGGTGCAAAGTGACAGAGTGAAAGACAGATGGAAAGTGACACAGATGTGAACAATACAAAGGGACAGAGATGGCAAAGTGACAGATGAAAAGTGACAAGGGAAGCAAAAGGACAGATGTGGCAGGACAGAGATGGCAAAAGTGACAGATGTGAAAAAGTTAACAGAGAGAGAGCAAAAAATGACAGATGTGGCAAAGTGACAGAATGGCAAAGCTCACAGATGAGGAAAAGAGACAGAGATGGCAAAGGACAGATGTGAAGGCAAAAGGATAGAGGAAGTGACAGATGTGGGAAAGAGACAGAAATGGCAAACAGACAGATGGGTAAAGTGACAGAGATGGAAAAGTGGGAAAGAGACAGAAAATGCAAAGGACAGATGGAATGCAAAAGTGACAGAGGAAACTCAATGAGAAAGAGAGCAGAAAATGTGGACAGATGAAGGCAAAAGACAGGGGAAAATTAATGAGGAAAGAGAGCGTAGAAAAATGCGATACAGGACAGATTGAAGGCAAAAGTGACAGAGGAAAAACTTAATGTTGGAAAGAGAGCAGAAAATGCGATACAGGACAGATTGAAGGCAAAAAGTGACAGAGGAAAACTTAATGAGGAAAGAGAGAGCAGAAAATGATACAGGACAGATTGAAGGCAAAAGTGACAGAGGAAAATTTAATGAGGAAAGAGAGGTAGAAAATGCGATACAGGACAGACTGAAGGCAAAAGTGACAGAGGAAAAAGTAATGAGGGAAGAGAGCGTAGAAAATGGATACAGGACAGATTGAAGGCAAAAGGACAGATTGAGAAAGAGAGAAGAAAATGCGATGACAGATTGAAGGCAAAAGTGACAGAGAAAACTAAAGAGGGAAGAGAGCGTGTAGAAAATGACAGATTAAGGCAAAAGTCACAGAGGAAAAAGAGGAAAGAGAGCGGAAAAGATACACAGATTGAAGGCAAAAATGTGACAGAGGAAAAAAACTTATGAGGAAAGAGAGCGTAGAAAATGCGATACAGGACAGATTGAAGGCAAAGATGACAGAGGAAAAATGCGATACAGGATATTGAAGGCAAAGTGAGGAAAGAGAGAGAGCGTAGAAATGCGATACAGGACAGATTGAAGGCAAAAGTGACAGAGGAAAAAACTTAATGAGGAAAGAGAGCGTAGAAATGCGATACAGACTGAAGGCAAATTGACAGAGGAAAATGAATGAGGGAAGAGAGAAATGGATACAGGACAGATTGAAGGCAAAAAAGTGACAGAGGAAAACTTAATGAGGAAAGAGAGAGAAAATGCGATACGACAGATTGAGAAAAGTGACAGAGGAAAAACTTACAGGACAGAAATGAAGGACAGATTGAAGACAGAGGAAAATTTAATGAGGAAAGAGAGCGTAGAAAATGCGATACAGGACAGATTGAAGGCAAAAGTGACAGAGGAAAACTTAATGAGGAAAGAGAGCGTAGAAAATGCGATACAGGACAGATTGAAGGCAAAAAGTGACAGAGGAAAACGAATGTTGAAAGAGAGCGTGAGAAAGAGAGTGACAGAGGAAAAAACTTAATGAGGAAAGAGAGCGAGAAAATGCGACAGGACAGATTAAGGCAAAAGTGACAGAGGAAAACTTAATGAGGAAAGAGCGTAGAAAAATGAGGACAAAATGCAAAACGATACAGGACAGATTGGAAGGCAAAGGACAGAGGAAAACTTAATGAGGAAAGAGAGCGTAGAAAATGACAGGACGTAAAAGACAGAGAGCGAGGAAAGAGATGCGAAAGTGACAGATGAAGGCAAAAAGGAGGAAAACAAAAAAGAGCGACAGAGATGGAAGGCAAAAGTGACAGAGGAAAACTTAATGAGGAAGAGACAGAAAATGCGACAGATTGACAGGACAGATTGAAGGCAAAAATGTACAGGACAGAGAATGAAAAACAGAGAAATTATTGATGAAAGAGAGCGTAGAAATGCGATACAGGACAGATTGAAGGCAAAAGTGACAGAGGAAAACTTAATGAGGGAAGAGAGAGAAGATGACAAAGGATGAGGAAAGAGAGCGAAATGCGACAGGACAGATTGAAGGCAAAAGTGACAGAGGAAAACTTAATGAGATGAGAGGACAATTGAGAAAATGACAGATAATGAGGAAAAGAGAGCAGGACAGATTGAAGGCAAAAGTGACAGAGGAAAACTTAATGAGGAAAGAGAGCGTAGAAAATGCGATACAGGACAGATTGAAGGCAAAAAGTGACAGAGGAAAAAGTTAATGAGGAAAGAGAGCGTAGAAAATGCGATACAGGACAGATTGAAGGCAAAAAGTGACAGAGGAAAACTTTAATGAGGAAAGAGAGGAAAACGTTGAAAGAAAATGCGATACAGGACAGATTGAAGGCAAAAAAGTGACAGAGGAAAAACTTAATGAGGAAAGAGAGCGTAGAAAATGCGATACAGGACAGAAAGGCAAAAGTGACAGAGAAAAACTTAATGAGGAAAGAGAGCGTAGAAAATGCGATACAGGACAGACTGAATGCAAAAAGGACAGAGGAAAACTTAATGAGGAAAGAGAGCGTAGAAAATGCGATACAGACAGATTGAATGCAAAAATGACAGAGGAAAAACTTAATGAGGAAAGAGGCAGAAAAATTTACAGGATGATTGAAGGCAAAAGTGACAGAGGAAAACTTAATGAGGAAAGAGAGCGTAGAAAAATGCGACAGACATAAGGCAAAAGTGACAGAGGAAAACTTAATGAGGAAAGAGAAAGTAGAAAATGGACAGGACAGACTGAAGGCAAAACGTGGAAGGAGAAAACTTAATGAGGAAAGAGACAGAAAATGACAGGACAGATATGGCAAAGTGAGGAAAACAGAGAGCGTAGAAAATGTCATACAGGACAGACTGAATGAAGAGGAAAAACTTAATGAGGAAAGAGACAGAAAATGAAAAAGGACAGATTGAGGAAAGAGAGGAAACTTAATGAGAAATTAAAAAATGCGATACAGGACAGATTGAAGGCAAAGTGACAGAGGAAAATTAATGAGGAAAGAGAGAGTGTAGAAAATGCGATACAGGACAGATTGAAAGTGAAAGAGGACAGAGGAAAAAAGACAGAGGAAAAATTAATGAGGAAAGAGAGTGTAGAAAATGCGATACAGGACAGATTGAAGGCAAAAGTGACAGAGGAAAATTAATGAGGGAAGAGAGCGTAGAAAAATGACGATACAGGACAGATTGAAGGCAAAAGTGACAGAGAAAACTTAATGAGGGGAAGAGAGCGTAAGAAATGCGATACAGGACAGATTGAAGGCAAAAGTGACAGAGGAAAACTTAATGAGGAAAGAGAGCGTAGAAAAATGCGATACAGGACAGATTGAAGGCAAAAGTGACAGAGGAAAACTTAATGAGGAAAGAGAGCGCAGATGACACAGATTAAGGTAAAAGTGACAGGGGAAAACTGAAAAGAGAGCGTAGAAAATGAAAGGCAGACTGAATGCAAAAGACAGAGGAAAACTTAATGAGGAAAGAGGGCGTAGAAAAAAAAAATGATACAGGACAGACTGAATGCAAAAGGACAGAGGAAAACTTAATGACAAAGAGAGCGTGAAAACAGAAAGTGACAGAGGAAAATGACAGAAAGGACAGAAAAGGCAAAAGTGAGAGAGGAAAACTTAATGAGGAAAGAGAGCGTAGAAAATGCGACAGGACAGATTAAGGCAAAAGTGACAGAGGAAAACTTAATGAGGAAAGAGAGCGTAGAAAATGCGATACAGGACAGATTGAAGGCAAAAAGAGACAGAGGAAAAGAGCATGAGAAAGAGAGCAGAAAACTTAGAGGAAATGAGATACAGACAGATTGAAGGCAAAAGTGACAGAGGAAAAACTTAATGAGGAAAGAGAGCGTAGAAAATGACGAGATGGCAGACAGATTGAAGGCAAAAAGTGACAGAGGAAAACTTAATGATGAAAGAGAGCGTAGAAAAATGCGATACAGGACAGATTGAAGGCAAAAGTGACAGAGGAAAACTTAATGAGGAAAGAGAGAGTGGAAAATGCGATACAGGACAGATTGAAGGCAAAAGTGACAGAGGAAAAATTAATGAGGAAAGAGAAAAATGCGATACAAAACAGATTGAAGGCAAAAGGACAGTGGAAAACAATGAGGAAAATGCGAAAGAGACAGATTGAAGGCAAAAGTGACAGAGGAAACAGGACAGAGAGAAGGCAAAATGTGACAGAGATTGAAGGCAAACAGAGGAAAACTAATGAGGAAAGAGAGAGTAGAGGACAGACAGGACAGATTGAAGGCAAAAAGTGACAGAGGAAAACTTAATGAGGAAAAGAGAGCGTAGAAATGCGATACAGGACAGATTGAAGGCAAAAAGACAGAGGAAAACTTAATGAGGAAAGAGAGCGTAGAAAATGACAGGCAGACTGAATGCAAAAGACAGAGGAAAACTTAATGAGGAAAGAGGGCGTAGAAAATGCGATACAGGACAGATTGAATGCAAAAAGGACAGAGGAAAACTTATGAGGAAAGAGAGCGTAGAAAATGCGATACAGGACAGATGAATGCAAAAGTGACAGAGGAAAAATTAATGAGGAAAGAGAGCGTAGAAAAATGCGATACAGGACAGATTGAAGGCAAAAAGTGACAGAGGAAACTTAATGAGGAAAGAGAGCGTAGAAAATGCGATACAGACAGATTGAAGGCAAAAAAAAAAAAAAAAAAAGGACAGAGGAAAACTTAATGAGGAAAGAGAGGTAGAAAATGCGATACAGGACAGATTGAAGGCAAAAGTGACAGAGGAAAACTTAATGAGGAAAGAGAGCGTAGAAAATGCGATACAGGACAGATTGAAGGCAAAAAGTGACAGAGGAAAAACTTAATGAGGAAAGAGAAGGTAGAAAACAAAGATACAGACAGATTGAAGGCAAAGTGAGAGAGGAAAACAATGAGGAAAGAGAAATGCGACAATGACAGATGACAAAAGGACAGGAAAATGAGGAAACAGAGCAGAAATGCGAACAGGACAGATTGAAGGCAAAAGACAGAGAAAAACTTAATGAGGAAAGAGAGTAGAAAATGACACAAGACAGATTGAAGAAAGTGACAGAGGAAACTTAATGAGGAAAGATTGAAAATGGCACAGGACAGATTGAATGCAGAGGGAAAACTTAATGAGGAAAGAGAGCGTAGAAATGCATACAGGACAGATTGAAGGCAAAAGTGACAGAGGAAAACTTAATGAGGGAAGAGAGCGTAGAAAATGTGGACAGATGGAAGGCAAAAGTGACAGAGGAAAACTTAATGAGGAAAGAGAGCGTGAAAAATGCGATACAGGACAGATTGAAGGCAAAAGTGACAGAGGAAAAACTTAATGAGGAAAAGAGAGCGTAGAAAAATGCGATACAGACAGATGGAAGGCAAAAAGTGACAGAGGAAAACTTAATGATGAAAGAGAGCGAGAAAATGATACAGGACAGATTGAAGGCAAAAGTGACAGAGAAAACTAATGAGGAAAGAGATGTAGAAAATGCGATACAGGACAGATTGAAGGCAAAAAGTGACAGAGGAAAAACTTAATGAGGAAAGAGAGCGTAGAAAATGCGATAAAGGACAGAAAACTTGAAGGCAAAAGTGACAGAGGAAAAAGTAATGAAAACTGGAAAGAGAGCGTAGAAAAATGCGATACAGGACAGACTGAATGCAAAAGTGACAGAGGAAAACTTAAGGAGGAAAGAGAGCGTAGAAAAATGAATGACACAGAGGAAGATTGAAGGAGCAAAAGTGACAGAGGAAAACATAATGAGGAAAGAGAGCGTAGAAAATGCGATACAGGACAGATTGAAGGCAAAAAAACTGACAGAGGAAAAAGTTAATGAGGAAAGAGAGTGTAGAAAATGCGATACAGGACAGATTGAAGGCAAAAAAGTGACAGAGGAAAAGTTAATGAGGAAAGAGAGTGTAGAAATGTGATACAGACAGATTGAAGGCAAAAGGACAGAGGAAAAAAACTTAATGAGGAAAGAGAGCGTAGAAAATGACAGGACAGATTGAAGGCAAAAGTGACAGAGAAAAATTAATGAGGAAAGAGAGCAGAAAATGAAACAGGACAGATTGAAGGCAAAAGGACAGAGGAAACTTAATGAAGGAGAAAAGAAATGCGATACAAACAGATTGAAGGCAAAAGTGATGAAAAGAGAGTGAATGACAGACAGGAAAAGGAAAAACTTAATGAGGAAAGAGAGCGTAGAAAATGCGACAGGACAGATTGAATGGCAAAAGTGACAGAGGAAAACTTAATGAGGGAAGAGAGCGTAGAAAATGCGATACAGGACAGATTGAAGAAAAGTGACAGAGGAAAACTTAATGAGGGAAGAGAGCGTAGAAAAATGCGATACAGGACAGATTGAAGGCAAAAAGGACAGGAGAAAAAAACTTATGAGGAAAGAGAGCGTAGAAAATGCGATACAGGACAGATTGAAGGCAAAAAGGACAGAGAAACTTAATGAGGAAAGAGCGTAAAAATGCGATACAGGAAAGATTGAAGAGTGACAGAGGAAAACTTAATGAGGAAAGAGAGCGTAGAAAAATGCGATACAGGACAGATGTGGCAAAAGTGACAGAGGAAAACTTAATGAGGAAAGAGAGCGTAGAAAAATGCGATACAGGACAGATTGAAGGCAAAAAGTGACAGAGGAAAACTTAATGAGGAAAGAGAGCGTAGAAAATGCGATACAGGACAGATTGAAAAAGTGACAGAGGAAAACTTAATGAGGAAAGAGAGCGTAGAAAATGCGATACAGGACAGATTGAATGCAAAAAGTGACAGAGGAAAACTTAATGAGGAAAGAGAGCGTAGAAAATGCGATACAGGACAGATTGAAGGCAAAAGTGACAGAGAAAACTTAATGAGGAAAGAGAGCGTAGAAAATGCGATACAGGACAGATTGAAGGCAAAAGTGACAGAGGAAAAACTTAATGAGGAAAGAGAGCGTAGAAAATGCGTAGAAAATGCGAAGTGACAGAGACAATGATTGAGAAAATGCAAAAGGACAGACAAAGAGGAAAACTTAATGAGAAAGAGAGCGTAGAAAATGATACAGGACAGATTGAAAGCAAAAAGTGACAGAGGAAAAAAGTGACAGAAAACTGAGGAAAGAGAGCGTAGAAAATGCGATACAGGACAGATTGAATGCAAAAGTGACAGAGGAAAACTTAATGAGGGAAGAGAGCGTAGAAAATGCGATACAGGACAGAGATTGAAGGCAAAAAGGACAGAGGAAAAACTTAATGAGAAAGAGAGCGTAGAAATGCGATACAGGACAGATTGAAGGCAAAAGTGACAGAGGAAAAAACTTAATGAGGAAAGAGAGCGTAGAAAATGCGATACAGGACAGATTGAAGGCAAAAGTGACAGAGGAAAACTTAATGAGGAAAGAGAGCGTAGAAAATGCGATACAGGACAGACTGAAAGCAAAAGTGACAGAGGAAAATTTAATGAAAAAAGAGAGCGTAGAAAATGCGATACAGGACAGATTGAAGGCAAAAGTGACAGAGGAAAACTTAATGAGGAAAGAGAGCGTAGAAAATGCGATACAGGACAGATTGAAGGCAAAAGTGACAGAGGAAAACTTAATGAGGAAAGAGAGCGTAGAAAATGCGATACAGGACAGATTGAAGGCAAAAGTGACAGAGGAAAACTTAATGAGGAAAGAGAGCGTAGAAAAATGCGATACAGGACAGATTGAAGGCAAAAGTGACAGAGGAAAACTTAATGAGGAAAGAGAGCGTAGAAAATGCGATACAGACAGATTGAAGGCAAAAGTGACAGAGGAAAAACTTAATGAGGAAAGAGAGCGTAGAAAAATGCGATACAGGACAGATTGAAGGCAAAAAAGTGACAGAGGAAAAAAACTAATGAGGAAAGAGAGCGTAGAAAATGAATGATACAGGACAGATTGAAGGCAAAAGTGACAGAGGAAAAAGTGACAGGAAAAACTTATGAGGAAAGAGAGCGTAGAAATGCGATACAGGACAGATTGAAGGCAAAAAGTGACAGAGAAAACTTAATGAGGAAAGAGAGCGTAGAAAATGCGATACAGGACAGATTGAATGCAAAAGTGACAGAGGAAAACTTAATGAGGAAAGAGAGCGTAGAAAATGCGATACAGGAGATTGAAGGCAAAAGTGACAGAGGAAAAACTTAATGAGGAAAGAGCGTAGAAAATGCGATACAGGACAGAGGAAAATTGAAAAAGAAGGCAAAAGTGACAGAGGAAAACTTAAATGAGGAAAGAGAGCGTAGAAAATGAGATACAGGACAGATTGAAGGCAAAAGTGACAGAGGAAAAAATGAGGAAAGAGAGCGTAGAAAATGATACAGGACAGATTGAAGGCAAAAAAGACAGAGGAAAACTTAATGAGGAAAGAGAGCGTAGAAAATGATAGAGGAAAACAGGACAGAGAGCGTAGAAAAATGCAAAAGATTAGCAGACAGAGAAAACTTAATGAGGAAAGAGAGCGTAGAAAATGCGATACAGGACAGATTGAAGTGCAAAAACTTAATGACAGAGGAAAAATGCTTAATGAGGAAAGAGAAACGTAGAAAAAGATAGGACACAGAGATTGAAGGCAAAAGGACAGAGGAAAACTTAATGAGGAAAGAGAGCGTAGAAAAGTGACAGAGACAAAGGCAAAAGTGACAGAGGAAACTTAATGAGGAAAGAGAGCGTAGAAAATGCGATACAGGACAGATTGAAGGCAAAAGTGACAGAGGAAAACTTAATGAGGAAAGAGAGCGTAGAAAATGCGATACAGGACAGATTGAAGGCAAAAGGACAGAGGAAAACTTAATGAGGAAAGAGAGCGTAGAAAATGCGATACAGGACAGATTGAATGCAAAAGTGACAGAGGAAAACTTAATGAGGAAAGAGAGCGTAGAAAAATGCGATACAGGACAGATTGAAGCAAAAGTGACAGAGGAAAACTTAAAAATGAGGGAAGAGAGAGGAAAAACAATGAAAGACTGAAAATGCAAAAGATTGAAAAGGACAGAGGAAAACAATGAGGAAAGAGATACCAAAATGCGATAGCAGAAAAATGATAGAGGAAGAAATTAATGAAAAGTGACAGAAAACTTAATGAGAAAGAGAGCGTAGAAAATGCGATACAGGACAGATTGAAGGCAAAAAGGACAGAGGAAAACTTAATGAGGAAAGAGAGCGTAGAAAATGCGATACAGGACAGATTGAATGCAAAAGTGACAGAGGAAAACTTAATGAGGAAAGAGAGCGTAGAAAATGCGATACAGGACAGATTGAAGGCAAAAGTGACAGAGGAAAACTTAATGAGGAAAGAGAGCGTAGAAAAATGCGATACAGGACAGATTGAAGGCAAAAGTGACAGAGGAAAAACTTAATGAGGAAAGAGAGCGTAGAAAATGCGATACAGGACAGATTGAAGGCAAAAAGTGACAGAGGAAAACTTAATGAGGAAAGAGAGCGTAAAAATGCGATACAGGACAGATTGAAAAAGAAAAGTAGAAACAGAGGAAAATTTAATGAGGAAAGAGAGGAAAAACGTAAAAATGCGATACAGGACAAAAAGACAGAGGAAAACTTAATGAAAAGAGAGCGTAGAAAAGATACAGGACAGACAGATGACAGAGGAAAAACTTAATGAGGAAAGAGAGCGTAGAAAATGCGATACAGGACAGATTGAAGGCAAAAGTGACAGAGGAAAACTTAATGAGGAAAGAGAGCGTAGAAAATGCGATACAGGACAGATTGAAGGCAAAAAAGACAGAGGAAAAACTTAATGAGGAAAGAGAGCGTAGAAAATGCGATACAGGACAGATTGAAGGCAAAAGTGACAGAGGAAAACTTAATGAGGAAAGAGAGCGTAGAAAAATGACACAGGACAGATTGAAGGCAAAAGTGACAGAGGAAAACTTAATGAGGAAAGAGAGCGTAGAAAAATGCGATACAGGACAGACTGAAGGCAAAAGTGACAGAGGAAAAAACTAATGAGGAAAGAGAGCGTAGAAAATGCGATACAGGACAGATTGAATGCAAAAAGGACAGAGGAAAAACTTAATGAGGAAAGAGAGCGTAGAAAAACAGAACAGGACAGATTGAATGCAAAAGTGACAGAGAAAACTTAATGAGGAAAGAGAGCGTAGAAAAATGCGATACAGGACAGATTGAAGGCAAAAGTGACAGAGGAAAACTTAATGAGGAAAGAGAGAGTAGAAAATGCGATACAGGACAGATTGAATGCAAAAGTGACAGAGGAAAAACTTAATGAGGAAAGAGAGCGTAGAAAATGCGATACAGGACAGATTGAAGGCAAAGTGACAGAGGAAAACTTAATGAGGAAAGAGAGCGTAAAATGCGATACAGGACAGACTGAAAGCAAAAGTGACAGAGGAAAATTTAATGAGGAAAGAGAGCGTAGAAAATGCGATACAGGACAGATTGAAGGCAAAAGTGACAGAGGAAAACTTAATGAGGAAAGAGAGCGTAGAAAATGCGATACAGGACAGATTGAAGGCAAAAGTGACAGAGGAAAACTTAATGAGGAAAGAGAGCGTAGAAAATGCGATACAGGACAGATTGAAGGCAAAAGTGACAGAGGAAAAAACTTAATGAGGAAAGAGAGCGTAAATGGAAAGGACAGATAAGGCAAAAGGACAGAGGAAAACTTGAATGAGGAAAAAGCGTGAAAATGACAGACAGATTGAAAAAGTGACAGAGGAAAACTAATGAGGAAAGAGAGCGTAGAAAATGCGATACAGGACAGA